ACATCCTCGGTCACTAGGTTGCCTCCATGAGGCTAAAAGAGCATGCCTGGTAGAGGGCACTGAGATCACAGCATACTATGAAAACATATTAGTCTGGATGACAAATTCACTTTGGTAACACAAAGGTGAGAGTCCCAGGCACTTACATGAGTTCATAATTCCTCCGAATTGTTTCTGGAATGTTTGGCTTCGTAACGCGGACCGCCTGGAAAGACAGCGAATAGAAGGTAGACAAACAGCCAACATGCCGCGAGCAACCAAAATACTGGCAACAAAAGTGTGGGACTTAAAATTGGGCCAAAGGTAATTAGTTGCCTCAAGGAACTCAACATGGAGTGTAGTTGGTAGAGCAGTTTTCCAGAAATGACGTACAGCTCTCCATCCCTGCCCAGCACTGCACACCCAATCTCGTAAGCATTTCTGTACCAGATGTGACTGTCCTCCCCATGACCAGCACCTTGTACAGACCAGGTGGGACCCTGATTACCTGTATAATGAGTCCAGGAGCCATGGTGGTCAGGTCCTGCTGCAAAGCCAGTTTAAGGTTTTCATCAATCTGATCTGATATCAAAAAAGTGAGACATGGTTAAAGAACACACAAGGCATTTGGCTCTCAGATCATCTGTGGAGTTATTCAGGATAGGCTTTGATTTAGCACTCTTGGAAACGAAACACAAGTTGAGGTTAGATACACACAGGCTACACATCCCATAGGGGAAATCAAGAGACACCTGTGTGTGTGTGTGTGTGTGCACTTTTTTTTCCTAATAAAATCCCAGTCTTGAGCCAGGTCCTGAAGCCGTTCAGTAAATCAGGTTTGATTTAAATGTTCAGGCTGAACACAAGCAAAACAAGATGGTATCACAAGCAAGACGCAAGACCAGACAAAACTGGCAGTGAAACCAAAATACCGTAATTGGCGTGGGGTGGGGAGGACGAATAGTGGGTGGGTGGTCTGTCATGATGGTGAACTTGCACCAACAATATCTTAAAAAAAAGGGGATTTACAAACTCCTGCAACCTTCCACAGCTCCAGTAATATACCTTTGGGATTTATGGACCCGGGAGGTATTCTCAGAATCCACATTACTGGGAATAAATGGACAATTACTCAGGCAACTGGCAGTATCTCAAGGGATAACTGGGATTGTATCCTTATCCACTGTGCCTACCACTCAGAAGCACAGGGCACATCTGACTGACAAATTCAGAACCAGGGAAGGAATATTACTCCAGGACATCATATCAGCAGGGACCTCAAGGGTCTTGCACCTTTCTCTGAGCACTGAGCCGGTGTCATGTTACAAGATCAGGTGGGTGTACAATGCTTGGCAAGTTTCCTGCAGTGTCCGGAGTCCTCAAGCAACAGGGGATCTGGATCCTTCCTGACCTCTATTTCTGGGTTAGAGGAACTCAGGGATGCCACAAGCCTCCAGTGAGTACTCACAGGAAATGCCCACAAGCATGGTGTGTGTGCAAGTAAATTCTGAGCTATTCTAACCAATGTCCACCAACGTTATCATTCCAAACGGGTCCTGGAGCAGTCCCAGTAATTTAAAACCTGGCCTAGCCAGGCCTTGATCTACCCGGGCTGAATGTGTGCCAGCAAGAGACAGAACGAGAGAAAGGTGAAAGGTCACATTTGCTAGTTTAATAGGCTGGACACATTTTCATCAGCAAATCCACTTGGCTCAGTGGGTAGGAATTAACTTCAGTGTAGCTGGAGAATTTCAAAAGGAAATAAAGAATTCAAAGCCCTGCTGCAATGAAAGCTCCAAGGAAGGTTGTATGTTCCATTGGGGCCTGCTGAGAAATACAACAGGAAAATAAAAAATGAACAGCCCTGAAAGTGATCCAGGCTCACTCCCTCAGTTATTAGCCTTGTCCCTGTTTGGGTGTCTGGAATTCACATTCAAAACACAGTTCAGCCAGGAGTTTAGGAAACAGCTGTTATCAGTTTCCTGCACCTGCCTCCAGATGTGGAGGCAGGGAATCATGACATAGGTCTGTATTCAATGGGCTGCACCCCATTTCTAACTCCTCAGCCAAAAAGCATCCTGCTCAGACAGAAACAATCATGCAGGAGTGCATATAAATTTATACAGACTCTTCCTTCAGTGCAAATCAGTTTACTTTAGTCTCTTTTTAGCTACTGTCGTCAGCAGCTGCTGATGTCATCTGGAGACATCTATGGGTGAAGAATGAATATACTTTCTGAAAATTCCCCTCCTGTTTCTCTATAGAACCAAGTCCCAATGCTATATTTTGTAGCAGTGCACGGTCAAAACAGGGCTCTCTCAGTCCCTTAAAAAGTGCAGTTCAGATACAGTAGTTAATGATTAGCTTCCTATCACACAGCCGATAGGAAGAACAGATCATGGAGTCTCAAGGATGAACATGCAGGGTGTCTGTGCAAATGCCACACAATGAGATTGGGCTCCAGCTTGAGATAAGTATTGCAAAGACATTCTCACAATTTCAAAAGAAAAATTCATCCTGAGAATAATCAGGTTCTCCTAGTCTCTGCACAATCTAGTTTTAAGATGACCTGCAGTCTAGAATGGAGGGCATCTGTCCCATCCTGAGAGATTCCCCTATTCTCGAACACCACATGGCATCCCTAGGTAGTATGGTAATAGCTGCTTTAGTAGAACTGAGATATAAACTTACCCTACAGCATTTTGCTTGCCCTGAATGAGTAACATTTCTTGACAGGCGACCAAGCTCTCGTTTATATTTTTTGTGATTGGGCTGGTAAATTTCCCATGACTATTTTGCAAGGGTTAGCTAAACAGAGCATCTGCCTGATGAAGCTTCCACACCTTCGCTAGGACAATCAGCTGCTCTGTTTGTGACCAGGATTGGTTCAGTTTAATTATAGTTACACATTCCTTATACTTCTGGAGGTAGTATAAGTACATGTATGTGTAGGTACGTGTAACTAGAACTAATAAAACTGAACCAACCCTGGTCACGAACAGAACAGCTACTGGAGTGATCTCATCAGAATCCCATCAGTTATGGAGAGGGGCCTAAAGGAGGCTCTGATTGTGTACTACTAGATTTTATGGGGTAGCAGCAGAAAACCTTGCTGAAGCAACAGTAGATGTTGTTAGGTTCGGGTGAATGTGACAATTCATCTGTAAAGGTTAGTGACCCAGGGCAGAGATGGGGCTCACCAAACAGCTCAATGTAGACTTCCTGAAGAGTATGAACACTGCAGAACTGGTTCAGCTCATGGTGAATCTTGTTGAAGATGAGTGCTTTGTCATAGTCTGCTGTGTAGTTCTTCACTATGTCATACACTGGTGAGAAAGAGAGGTTTGCATTAGGAGACTAGCGTGGTGGTGGTCTCGAGTCGGGCTCCACCTGGGATACATGCAATGGGAGCCTGACACATCTGTACTAGTCACTGGGGGCGACTCCCTGCCAATGCCTGGAGCCTTGCCACTAGCGAATGAACAAAATGGAAAGAAGATCTCTGCACTGCAGAAGCGCACTTTGTTCATTTATTTTGACAGGGAAGGTTTAATTATTGATGCTAATACTTCATAATGTACTAACCAATGTTCTGTCATATGCTTTGTAAACATAATGAAGTCTTAGTAACACCAGACCTTTCTACAACATCTGCTATTAAATCTTTGCTGAGAAGCGGTGAGACAAGGATTATGTGTCTGAACAATACGATATGTGGATTAGTGAATTTGGGCACGTACATAGCAATTTGTGAGACTCTCAGAGCAGGAAGAAGCCCCCAGACCCAAAGCTGTACATGGATTTACTTTTAATCAATGGGACCTAAAACGGTCTGGTTCTGTCCCACTCACCAGGAATTTCTGTGATCCCACCAGTGTATTCACAAGCAGAGAGGTTTGCCCTGATGTTCTTGGCCAATGTATCCCCTCATTCCACTCTTTTCCAACATGCTAGATGGCTGTTGCACGCCACCCCAGAGGTGGCTGCATTTCAGTGGGACTCTATACATCAGTTTGTGACATATTTCGAGTGAGAGGTGCTCAGATCACTTAATCTGTGTCTCACATGTCAACCCTCTGATCGTATTCTGTACCCCTTTCTCCCACCCTTTGCCTATTTAGATTGTTAGAGCTTCATGACAGTGCCTAGCACACCACCACTGGGATTTATAGGGGCTACTATGATGTAAATAATAATCATCTGATAGGCATTATAGATATTACAATGAAAGGTACTAGAAAAATGAGTATATCAGTGGTAGTAAGTAATACGAACATGTCAGTGAGAATAAAACACAGAGAAATATATAAAAAAATAGTAAAACTGGTTCTGTGTCTTTTAAGTTTAAACTTAATTTTAAATTTTAAGTGTTTACGCCCAAAGAGCAGAGGGCTTTAAAGGGGACACTGCTGAATTTCTATGGCTCTTCTGGCCTCCAAAATCCATCACTGCACAAGCAGATATGATTTCTCAACCCTATGCTGCATTAGCAGGAACTTAAGGAGCTTTCAGAAGGCAAAAGCCATGCTAATGCTCAGATGTGACTGACAGTCCTTCATACTGTAGCCGTGCAGACTCATTGGCAGAGATAACTCACCAGCACCTTGGATCAGGAAATTCACCACCTCGATCCTGTCAAAATAAATCATCACTCCCCCACTGTGAAAGGAAGAGAAAAATCAAAGGAGGATGTAACATTCAAGTGTAACATTCAGAACTAAATAAAGCTGTTCAGGGATACAGCCAGGGTCTGGGGTGGGTGTAAGATGTATGGAGTACTGGCTCTTCTAGAACAAGCCACTGCTTATCCATAATTATTCAGCACTTAAAGGAGACTAGGAAGGGGGGGCAGAGAACAGAGCTCCCAGCAACACAACCCTGCATCTGAACCCATTCATAAAAGCAAATTCTTATTTCACAATTTGCTAGAGGCTGATCATGCAACTGCCACATTGGTCCCTCCTGATGTTGTCTGTCATGGAGACAACACCCTCTAGTGGACTGAAAGGGACACTTCACAACCTTTGTATCAGTAATTCACAGTGGTGGGCCTGCACTTACAGCAAATCCAAGTGGAAGGTTTTGGGGGAACCCCAAGAACAATGGCCCAGTTTACTCTGGATTTAGCTACGTGTAAACTAGGAATAATGGGTTCTAGTTTGGGAGGAGCAGGTCTAGTGGTTAGAGTGCACGGGGGTCTCTGGACTCCTGAATCCTTTCCTTAGTTCTTTGACTCTCTTGACACTTCACATGAGTCACTTAAACTCCTTGTGCCTTTATTTTCCCACTGGCAAAATGGGGATAAAACCTGCTTCACAGAGAGCATGTGAGGCTCAGGATTTTAGATCCATGGAGAGATGGTGCTACGTAAAGGATTAGACAGGGAAAGGGCTCTGAAGCCAATCGTAATGCAGTCTAACCTCACTTGAAATTTAAGTAGGCCAAGAATCAGGCCATGGAGACCAAGGTCCCCTCTCAAGCCTAGAGACAAGAGCAGTCACACCCATGAGGACATTCATGCCCTGGAGAGGGTAGGGTATTTGCACTGCCACCTTCCCCAGGGCAGCACTGTGGGAAGCCAGAGTCAGTTTCTACCTGACACTCTGCGGAAGCCCCACCAGCTGAGGCTGCAGAGTGGAGGCTCTAAAACAGCACATTCCCTGCCTGCCCTGTCCATGGCCCTGCCCCAGTCAGCACAACACAGTTTTCAGGCTTGATGAGCTAATGTAGGCTATCAGTAGAGGGAAGCTGTAGTCACCACAACCTATACCCTGATTGACTTTCTGCTACTGGGAGCCTTACATCCTGGTTTATGCCAACAGAAGTCTTTTTTTTTGCCAGGGATGAATCAAATCAGTAGACTTTAAGAGAACTGTAAAGTTATAGGAAGTTCTCTCTCGTTGTTACTATTAAACAGTCGCATTATTTACGGTATGTTATTCTGAAGTGGTGTAACACTAAGAGCAGAGTGTTATTATTTTCATACTAAGAACAAACTAAAACACACCAAACATGCAGCTACAATAAAGCAACAAATGTTAAGGTATGCTGGAGCTTCCTGAAAACATAGGATCCAATTCAGGGGCAGGTCAGGAAGGCATCTGACCAGCCTGCTAACAGGAACAAAGGGCAAAGTACATTCAAGTACTGCAAGCTATGATTCAGCATGGGGAGAAACGAAGAAGAAAAACTGGTGTAACTTGATTGCTGTGCCAGATGATGGTCTGACATCTCACCTGGTACCACAAGGAACATTTTTCACCTCATCTGTCTGCAATGTAGTCTGGAGAGAGAGAGAACAAAGATCCACTTAAGAGCCAGCCTGCTTACAGTACAAGAGTTATGTAGTTCCTTTGTTTTTCAGCAGCTTTCCTGCCATCTTACAGAGTATCATCTCTCAGGTTCCTCATTATATCACCCCTTTGTCCTGGAATAGCCTGGGGAACTGCAAAAGCTAGAACTAAATCTGCTTCTATTGATTCTTCCACCATTTGCTGTCCAGTGCTTGTCAGCTCTAGGGATAAACCTGAAAGCCACTTGTCCAAAGGTTGCTCAACAGAAAGAATGCATCACTGCATAACTCTCTGAGTGCGTTTGCCAGTGATCTAGCCTGCAAGTTTACTGGACAGGTTCCAAGTCCCTACTTCAGAATGTTTATTCCCCTGCTTGAAAGAAAAACTGGTGAAAAGAAAGATGTACAATCCCAAGAGAAAGATAATGGGGAAAAAACCCAGAAAGTTCTGAGCAGGCCTGGGGCAACTCCAGTGATGCAAACCTTGCAGCAGTCTGTTATATCTACCCGAGGTTGGAGTAGGAGGAACTACAAAAAGGGAGAATGTAATGCAAAAGTCTATTTACAGTGCAGGGTCTCTATGTCCCTTTCTGCTCTGGGGGAAAATGGCCCCATGCAGAGGTCCAAAACAAGCCTTATGTACCCACGGGGCTTTAAGTGGTACATAACCCTTGCACTGGTCCTCTGCACATAGGCCATTTTCACCCTTTGTGTAGGTAGAGTCTGACCAACTCCCACCGACTTCAGTGAACACTGCATCAGGCTTATACTGAGCATAAGGGAATTTCCCTCTCCTGCCTAGATTCTCCTTTGGGAGGTTCCTGAAAGTGTCATCATAAGTCTTGTGCTAGCAACATCACAGGCTGTTTCCCTGGAAAAGATTGTGATGTCCCAAATGCAGCATTTTCTGACCAATTTGGTGGGAAAACACTAATGTAAGCAGACAAATGCAAAAATACCTGCACAGATTTGTAGGAGGTTATAAAGGGGAGCATAAGGTGGAAGCCAGGTCCACTGGTGGAAGTCAGCAATGCGCCACCTCTGCAGGAGAAGAAACAAAGAAGAATGGTACATAGTTTATTCCCAAGTATCCGCAGACACTTTGACTATAGGAAGGCACGGAAGCATTAAAGATTAGATGCACTGAAAAGATAAATAAATTGACAATCTTGTCACTTCCAAACACAGACAAATATCTGCAAATATATGTGTATTTGTCATCTGTGCTTGGACACTTTTCTCCTTTAATTTAAGTCCTTGATACAGTTTGTGTACCCTGAATTCACAACATACTGAAGACATTTTAGATAATGAGCAAATACTAAAACCATACAAGCTCTTCCTGTCTTTTATAAGAAAGGAAAAGTTGTTCTCTGTGGTTGTGGGGGGTTGGTTTTGCTCTGTCACAAGTCACATTCAATTGCCAGTTAGGATATGAAAAGTCACCAGCTAGTGAAGAGTCAGACACACAGCATTATGATTCTGGATTTCAAAACCTTTTCAAAGTTATGAGCAAAACATGAGAAAAGCACCATACCAATTAACAAACCCTAATGACACAAATAACCCAAAGCAGCTGGAGAGCCTGCTAGTCTCAGAAAATAAATGGAGACGGACTAAATATATTTTAAGACTAAACAGTTGAAAATCAGTGCCATGGGATTTGGACCTTTCACCTCCAGGTCACCGGTTCAAATCCAGCCCAGGCTGATAGTAATCAAAAGTTGTTACCATCCAACAGCTGTTCAGTAGCCTATGTGGAATGGGTTGGTGGGAGGTCCCTCAATCCAGTCCCCAATGGACCGGTGTCCACATCACAAAAACATGCCAGTACATTTGTCACTAATCGGCCCCCTTGTTGGCAGGTTCAGCAGTGGTGCAAAGGATTGAATAAGTCATGGAGGCTGAATTACTTTTTGTCACACATAGAGATGGTCCCTTTAGGTTAGGGCACGTCTATTAGCAGAGAAGTTGGCGCTGCCAATGCTGTATCTTATCTGAGGATGAACAGAGGACTTAAATCCTCATGGCTGTCAGGTCTGCACCTTTCACCATCATCACTTACTCCATAGTCAGTCCCTCTTTCACCTGCCAGCCAGCCAAGACCATAACTTGAACTTCTGTTTCTCTCCTAACACAGCTGATATCATCACAAGCACCTGAAGCAGAGCAGAGAGCTGCAATCCTTATTTCAATATCTGGGTTATGGGGTGTCATCAACTCTTCTGGGGAAAACACAGAAGCTCTAACTCAGACTTTACATCCAGGTGAAGGAGGATGAGTCACAAGATATTTCGTACTAAAGTGGAATTACTGATAATTTTTAAGACTGCCTCAGTGTCTTCTGTTATCAATCTGGGACCACAAACTACGTCTTTCCCCAACTCCACCCCCCTTTGACAGAATATTGGCATCTGATGGGGAAGCCATTGGATAGTGGTTTCAAAATACTGTGAACCCAAACAATATTCCAGATGCATGTCTTACCTATAATAAACGCCAATATGTCCTTCTTCAATTTTGTGTACTGCAGAGAAGAGAGTTGCAGCCAGAAAACTAACAGACAGCGCCGCTATCGCACCTAGTTGGGCCATCCCTGAGAGCTCAGCCTGGGGAAAGGGAACGTAGAGCACATGAGATCAGAGACTGAGGCAAACTGAGAAATATTTAACTAAATGTACTTAGCCTAATACTAACACTGGATCTAATAATAACTATCCTTCCAGCAGAGGATCTCAAAGTGCGTCACAAAAATTAAGCCCCTCAGGTATTCCCGGGAGGTAGGTTTTACTCCCATTTTATAAACAGGGAAACTGAGGCAGCGAACTCACATGCCTGTTGTCACAGAGTGAATCTGTAGTAGAGCTGGGAACTGAACTCAGAAGTCCTGACTCCAACTCTCCTGCTCTAGCCACTGGACAACATCTCAGCTCTCTCTCTCTTTTTGTTTAGATTTACTAAAATATTACTTTTAAGACATCCCCTACCAGTGCACTTGGGGTATAGTTAAAGGAACCAGAAAGCCAAGAGTCTAGTACAACTTCCACCTCACATTATTAGTGTAGGTATCTGATTCTCCAGTCTCCACAGACTTTACAGCTGTTTTGCTATAGTAGCAACATGCACAAATGGACTAGAAGATTCTTGGTGCACACAGTTTGTTTGATGTGGGCACATTAACTCCAGGAGTTACACATGCCCCTCAACAGGAGAGGCGGCCTCTTGCCTCAAATTACACAGGCTGCCGAATGAAGCAGCGAGTGCAGCTCTGCCACTACCATTGTGACCTGCACCCACAGAATGGTAATTGCATGTTATTTCCCAACAACCCATTCTTTACTATTTGTAAATGTCAGGAAGAGCACACATGGAAGTGCATATGATCTTAAGGAAAGGTTCCTTAGACAGAACCGTAAATCCTTAGATGTCATACAAAAAGCACCACGACTCTTTCCTTTCCTGGGGAAGGCTTTGAGCCATGCTATAGACATGGGGCATAATTCGTAACCACAAACACAAGGACAAAGGTATTGGCCTATTAAGTAGCTCATACCCTCAGGCATTAAAAGGAACCCTAATACCCAATCCAAGCTGCTGTCACCTCCTTCCCTCCCCTTCCATCCGCACCGTTCCCTACCTACTCAGTCTTTGGTCTTGGGCTAGATTATAAATTACACTGGGAAAAGGACCTTCCCTTCTCTGCCTTTTCACCTGTGCGGTGCCTGCCTGACAGGGGGCTGTACAACTTCTAAGACTGCCTGAGTGTCTTCTGTTACCAATCTGGGACCACAAACCACTGCCTGCCCCTGGGGATGGAGCAGCCATAAGGGAAACCTCAGACAGCGAACTCCAGGAGGAGCTGTGCTCACATGAGCCTTCCCCCCGTGGGGGCTGAGACCCCGGGGGCAGTGAGCCCTGAGGAGACAGGGGGCGCCGGTCCCAGCCTTGGGGGCAGCGGCGGGGGGCTGGAGAGAGAGAGTCCAGCCCGGTGTGGAGTGGCCCGTAGGAGGGGCGCTGC